GAGTATAACATTATAACATGATATAAAACTCAAAAAAGTTGATTTTACATGATATTGCCCGTTTAAATACTCTCTAAATATCCATGTGTTTATGATTAAGAACTAATGCAGATTCAGCACTCACACTATTGTTTTCCTATTTTTTTTTAATTTTGTGTAATTTTGCAATCCAACGACTTCAGAATACTTGGGGCTATTTTAGCCATTTTAGAAACATTTTACAAAATAAATCCACCACCATTTTTAGTTTCCAAGAGAAAGGACAAGCCTGGACCTTCCTTTGAGCTGCAAAGCTTCTCAGCTGACACTTTTGCAGCTTTCCAAATAAARAACTCTCGGCTGAAATAAACATGGAGCCACTGAAGTGTGGACAGATCAAATCTGCAGCAGCTCTACAGGACTGTTTCAACTCCGAAGGCTGACATCGTATCAGCAATATCAGAAAAGTGATCTCAGTGTGGTGAAGTACTTTGGAGTCAGAAAACACAATACCCATCCCACCCTCAGCATGCTCACCCTGCTGCTGTACTGCAACATTAAAGAAGCATCTGCTGCTATAACATTAGTCATAGGAGTTGTCTAATTATTCATTCAAAAAAGGGAATTAATCCTCCACTCTTCACTACGTCTTCTATAAATTTGTTTATTTGGGTGAGTGGCAAGATAGACTATATCAAAACTTGGTTTTGACATTTTTATCCCCAAAAGAGATAATTAAATTTACCATTTAATTAGTATTAACTAAATAATGATCATCATAAACAAAAGTTTATTGTGTCACGCTGAATGTCAGATATTTTAAAGTTAAGCCACACTGTCAAGTTTTGGTTCAGTCTAATTGTTTGAGTATCATAGCATAGGTTATAGATAATAACAAAGAGCCCTTAATATCCACTCTTAATGGATAAATGCACCAAGTAAAATAACAATACATAATGCAATAAAGCAAACAGAATCACTGATGACAGTATTCTGTTGAACCTAATGGTGTTTCAGTGCACTGAAATTTGAACTACATTACAAAAGCAGCGTTTGAGTGTGTTTTATGATATGTAACACCATCTTAACTGGATATACATGCACATATATAACCTCAGCAAACCCCATTATGTTGGCAAACAGTGGCTTGCTTTTGTATGCATGAATGGATCACTAAGWTCACTATTACTAAAAAAACAGGTTTAGAGGCAAAACACCTGTCTCTCTTTTTCAGCAAGATTTACAATGTTGACATACGGCAAAGCCCCGGACCAAAGCTTCATATTATGTGTCACTAATCTGTATGCCAACATAACCATTGATGTGTACCTTTGATGTGCTCATAAAAATCACAAAAAACCTTCAATCAGTCTGTTTGTCGTTTTGAAGAGCTCACCTGCACATGAAAGCCTACACAAAATCCAGACTAAAAGTTAGAGCATTAAAAGATACAATAACATAATTTGGCCCTAGAGCTACAGCTATGTTGAGAAAAATGAAAGGATTTGGTCTTTTCTTAGGAGTAATAAAGGAAAAACATTTGCTCAGGACTTTACTGAGCTGTAAGTGAGAAACTGATTTAATAAATAAACATAGTGGTTTTAGGCTTTTGTTCAACATGGGATAAACTGTAGGCATGACTACAGTAGAAGTCAACAGTGAAGTCAACACAGATTTTTGACTATTAAAGATTACACATTTAAACTTACTGGGTTGTTTTTATTATGTTCAAAGATTCAAAAAATATGACTGCAGTGCTGTTTGCAGTTTCACTCTGCTCTTCTWGTGCATTATATTGTGAGTTTGCTGATGACCATCAGCTGACATTGTGCTTTACATAAATTTACCTCTGAGGGCCGGATGCAAAATGTGCAAATTATACAGACTCTTTTTACRGAGGCTAAGGTGAGACTCCTGGACCGAACTGGTGCTGGATAAGTCAGTGCTGTACATAAAGCATGTCAGGGTAACCCAACACAGTCACAACTTACTTTCATTTCACATACAACCAAAATATCTCAAGTATATCACTCTCATTTTTTATATCAGTAACATGTTTTCTCTGTTGGTCATTCAARACAGATCTTTTATTTTTATTAAAAGCATAAAACTAATGTGGCACCCCCATTTTTTCTTTTAAATATCTAACAGTAAAACAATTACAACAACAAAACC